GCTTGGCCTAAGTTAAGCATCTGCAGCAGCAGAGCCCCGCTCTCCCTGTGCAGTGCCTCATCAGTGGGGATCACTCTCCTGTGACCAAAAAGCCTCTTCTGCCGTTTAGGTTGGTTGCCTGATGAGGTCCCTCCAGGGCCAGGGCCATACAGCTAAGGGGAACCTCTCTGTGTCTTATGGCTTGTCAAAGACCACACTTTGCCAGGCACAGTGGGATCTGACTCTGGGACCCTTCCTGGGGGTGGGGAAGTGGGGCCCAGTGGGAAGAGGGGACCAAGCAAGGCTTGGTGGGGCTCTGACCGGAGAGGACGTAAGGTGCGCAGCAGCCGGAGGACTCGCAGCACCCCCAGGATTTTGGCACCACCAGCAGAGGCCACTGAGACCACAATGTCAATGAGAGACACGAAGACCAAGAAGCCATCCAAGACGTTCCAGCTGCTGCGGAGGTAAGCCTGATCCCCAAAATAGAGGCCTAGAGAGACCACCTGCAAGAGGAGAGGAGAGGTGGTTAAATGGCTCCTGTCCACATTGCCTGGTAGAGGGCAGCTGTGGAGAGAGTGGGAGGATGAGGAACACTTATCACCTCCACATGACACTAAAGTGTCATCTCATCATCTTTTCCTTGAACCTGGAAGGCTACGAAGGAAAATGTCTTTGGGGAAAGTGGTGGCACATAACTCCAGAGATAACAGGGCCAAGGTGTCTCCTTCCCTTCCCTCTGCCTCTCTGAGCAACAGAACAGCTTTTCCTGTCATACCCATAGACCTGGGGCAAGTATCCCAGTCCAGAGTTCACTTGGGAGACAAAATTGGGCACCAAACCCCAAAACTTTGGCTCTCAAAGGAGTGGTTCAGTTCTCAGCAGTTCTCAACACCAGCAGGTGCTGCAGAAATCACTGGTCTTGGGGAGAGCTGAACACCCTGCAAATCACGGCCGCAATTCAAGTATTAATTTAGGAGTTTAACTCCAGGCACCCAGTTTTAGGACTCTTTCCAAATCACAAGAGGGGAATAACAAGATTTTCCTGTTGTTGAAAAGTACCTAGACACATATTGAATAATTATCTCAACTGAGCATGTTATTAATGTTGATGTTACTCTCCATGAGAAAGGGAATGGACATTTGGCATCATTACAAAATTCATACCTGAAGGCCAGCTATTCCTCCCAGGTACTAAGATCTCTCTGAATTTTAAGCCCAAGATAAACATCCCCTCCATGCCTGACAAGAGGAGTCTCAACCCCAGGCAGCACACCTGCCTTTACCAAGGCAGAGGGAAGGACTGGCACACTGAAAAGGCAGAGATATTTTGGAAGGGTGTTGAGCAAACATGAACCATGTTGTTCCTGACATGGGGAAAATGCTCTGAGCTGTTCATCTCTGGTAACTTACCTTCAGTGTCATCTCAGCTACAAAAATTGCAGTGAAAATATAGTTGGACACAGTGAGAAAGATTCTCTCCTAGAAAAGAAAAACAAAGGCCTTAAATGTATCTTAACTTCTTCTTGTTAGTCTGTCAGGCCCCTCTGATGAACTTGCCACATTTTACCTTCCTGTGAAGGGTCTGAAAGTTGGGGAAATAAGAGAGGTACCCTTGGCAAAGGTCAGTGCTGGGCAGCCTTAGGTTCATACACCTTGTCTCAGCCTTGTGCAACATTCATACACCTTGGCTCAGCCCTATGCAACAGCTGGGACAGGATCCTACTCAACTCTGCAAGAGTGCAGTGGATGGGATTTGTAATGTGTCCTGCAAATCTGGTTTCAAGGCTTTCTCTGACCTGTTCTGCTAGTGCAGCTCAGTCCTGACCTGCTGTTCTGACCTGTGACTCCTTCCTGAAGGCGTGTTGAGCGCTCACCACTGAGTTGTGTGTTGGTGCAGTCTAGGGTTCAGTTATGGCAGACATGCAGAAGAAACCATTTCACTTGCCAGCCTGAGCCAGCTCCAGGATAGCTCAGAAGCAGCATACATGAATGATGACATGCCATTCCTACAAAATGGAAGTTACTCTATCTTTTAATTCCCAGTCCCTGTCCTTTTTTCCCAGTTACCTCTTAAATGCAGGTGTCTGGGAGACTCTTTTAGTTTCCAAGAGGGAGAGAACTAGGATTACTACATTATAAACTGAGTTGATCCATTATAAGACCTTGCAGGAGAAGCACACACTACGTGGATTACTAGTATTTGGGCATTTGATAGGCGAATGGGAGCTGGTGTTTAGTGCTGAAATTATTCCAGAGGTCAAAACAATGCCAGGAGCACTTATAAACCTCTGTCAGAGGTGCTAAAAAGCAGGTCAGAGAAAATGTTGCTCACCGTGCTTCTGTGTTCAATCTGTGGTCTCTCCAGGGCAATGGTAATGCAGTTCAGGAAGATGAAGGCCAACACAACATAGTCAAAGAGCTTGTGAGCGATGATGGTTTGGCAGAGGAGGCGAAACCTGCAAGAGAGTTCTCATAGGCAGCCATGCCTTGGGCAGAGCAAGGTTAGGAGCTATGAGGACAGAGAATTGAATTCTGGCAGAGAAACTGAGTTCCGAGTTAGCTGCTTTCCTATCACTTGTACCAACATCCTTTGCCATGGCGATATGCCAGGGTGACTCATGGTCACACAGGGAGCATGGAACAGAGCAGGGGCAGAGCAAGGTGGTGAACTTTCATTCATTGCCCTGGTGCCAGAGTGGTTTCCTAACCACTACAGCTCTGTTCTCCTCTCTTGCCTTGTAAAGAAAAGGCTGAGTTTCATTCTTCCTCTCAAACTCACACTTTGTACCACCCCAGGGCGAAGAGGCCACATGCTGAGGAGAGGCAGGTAGGTAAGCATTCATGATGACCGCACTTCTGTCTCCTCTGAAAGATGCTGTGCCCATTAGCATCAGTGTCACACAGAGCAAAGAGCACTCCCTCAAGACCTGTAATGAAACCCCCCCTTCTTTTCAAGAGGTGATGCACATGCATGAGAATACTGTTGACTGGGATACACGGACATTTTCTCCTGGTGGGAAGACCCCTTTAGCAGAAAGAATTTATCCCCAATTTCTCTTTTTCAGACAAGAAGAATTCTAACTTTGCCCTAAAAGTTGTGATATGACTGCTGATAATTTGGTACTGAGACTGAAAATGAAATGTAGAGGCTGTTCTGGTACCAGGGGAGAAAATATCAGTATTATGGAGTTGTTAATAATACATTCCTTCTCCTTTTTGGGTTAATGTTAGTCTTCCCTGCCTTGCTTTGCTATAAATATTTATGATTACACAAAAGAAAAATGGGTTGCTCCAAAGGGAGGATAAAATCACAATAGCTATTTAGGACTCTCATCCTTCCTTTCATCTCCAGAATTAAGGAAGAGAAATGCTGTTTGGCTGTAGGAGGGGAGATGGAGCAGACAAAACACATTCCCAGATGGTAAGTTTAAAGTCACAACCTAACATGCAGCTCAAGGGATGTGGCCAGTACAGCAACAGGATATGTCCCATCTTCTCAACCCTCTCATGGCAAAAACTGCACAAACCTGTTTTGTGGAGAGAAGAGATATATGGACCAGTCTTCTCGTAACTCACACCAGTCTGGCTTATAGACTTCCATCATCTTCCGGATGCGAAAGCACAGGCTCTGGAAGGACGCAGCAGAAGCGAGTGCCACTGGTTACCTTCCCACTTGCCTGAGAGAGGCACTCTTCCTTTCACATCTGACCCCAAATATCACTACCTGCATCTCACCAGGTGCACTACCTGCCTTTCTTTAAGCCCTTCAACAAGGAAATGGACTCAAAGAACAGCAAGCCACTGAAAAGGAGGTAGGAGGTGCTTTGCCGGGCCCTGTTTACCTTTTCATATCTGTTTTCCTCCCCAGACCGTTACAAATAAAACTGCTAGTTTACTTTCTAGAGCAGGATGTTGTACATGATGCCTTCTCAGAGCTGATGGAGTGGCTCTGTTATATAAGGACAGTGCTTCCTCACTACTTCATCTAAATGAGAGGCCAGGACAGGGAGGCATTCTGTTCGCACTTGGGCTTGGAAGTGTTTTCATTTCATACATCATGTGTCTGTTCAAATTTCTACTGACCCTCCCCCTACTTTTTCCACCCTTTGACCTGCTTACAGATTGAGCTTTGCCGTCTCCCAGGCTGCCACTGCAAAACCACTTGAGTGGTCTCTTGGACCTCTGCTTTCTGCTCTGATGTGCTGATGTTCCCCATGCAAAGCTCTTGCTGGTCACACAGCCTGAGTTTTCCTAGTCTGTGGAAATCACTGGCTGCACTGCTTTGAAGTTACAAATGACCACACACATGCCTCACATCTGTCTTCTGCGATTCACCTGTATGAACACCTTGCAGGCAGCCTGACAATGCAGCTTGATCTTGTCTGGGCCTAGAAGGTCCCATCTGCACTCAGTGCTGTCCTCCAGCTGTACTTAAAGCACCTTTGCAATCTCTCCCATCCATGTGGCAGGAAGACTGGAATTTGAGGATGGATTTGGGGTTTCCCACAGCACTACAGTGTAACCCCAGGTTCCCTCCACCAAGTACTTACATAATCTATCTCTTCATCATCCTCTCCCCGTTCCTTGTGGTTGTTCATCTTTGGGAAGATCTCCTTGGCTATACTGGGCATTTTGCCATTGCAGTCCTGATGCTCGCTGGCCCCAAATGCTGCTCCTAGCTTATGGGTCACTCTGTGGCCAGATGGGACTGAGGCCAACTCCAGCAGGTCACAGGAGCCTTTGTTGTCCAGAGAAAGTGTCCGGCGGTGATGAAACACCCTTCCTGTCCCATCTGGCTCCCCGCCGGCCGCCCTGTGCCTTTCTCCAGACAGGAGGGATTCATGCTCGGCAGAGGGAGGTTTATGCTTCAGGCTGTGTCCTCGGGCCAGGCTGTTCCAGCTGGAGCGACGGCTCCCCCAGGCTCCACTGCGGCCCCAGGCACCATAGTGAGAACTGCGGGAGCTGGACTGTAAGAGAGCAGGACAGGGACTCAGCAACTCCGGACACAAGAAGGGAGCATGAGATCCTATTTCAGATCACAGACTTCTCCCTGGGTCCCTAAGCCAGGGGATTGCCATTTTTACAGCCAGGAAGTTGCATGGCAGAAATTTAGCAGCAATCTCTGTAAATCTGACGATAAATTGATAATGAGTTAGCAATGGTGCTGGTTGTTGTTACTTTACAGCACCATCTGTGTGCAAAGCACTTACAGGGAAGGTAAAAATATAAAGTCAAAGGCTTTACTTACACCAACACAAGGCAGGATAAAACTCTCCAAAAATCTGACTGGCAGCTTTTTACACTGCCCTGGTAAAGGATAACACAAGGTACAGGGTGATGGATAACCTGAAACACCATCTTTGAGTACAGTCGTAGTAAAATTAAGAAATAAGAGAAACAGGCTTGTTGGTTACAGTCTAGTCCAACCACATCAGCAACTTACTGTGTAGCACATGGCTGTTTGGAAATAAAAGAGGTATAAACCCTTTGAGCACTGATGCACCCAACCCCTCCCCCCTCACCACCCCAAAGATGAGGTATCAGTGGGAAGAAAGCCCAGAAACTGATGTTGGTGGATAGATCTGAGATGCATTGGCTGGATAGCCAGCAGTGCTTGAGGAAGTGCTAAGGGGCAGCAGGACCTGCTACGGGGAGCTCAAAGTCAAGATTTCTCTCTTCATTGTTAGAAAACCTTCCAGAAAACTCATCTCTTACGAAACTTGGCAGTTGTGGCATCACCCAGATATTCCTATGCTCTTAACTCACTCAGGGCATCATTTTGTGTCCCGTATTCCAGGAAACAAGAATAGAGCAAGGGGACAAAAACTGTTTCACTCTAGGAGGAAGACTGTTTCTTTGGCGTTCTCTCTGTCGCACCAGAAGAAGAGCAGAACATAAAGAGATGAATATCACACTCTATGGACTATAGATCAATAATGTGGAAATAAATTTCAGCTACCTGGAAATGCAGATAAACAATGTGAACTGACCTGCCTTCCTCAAGATAGGAGATGTGCTTGCGTGAGAAGCCTACAGCAGCAGTGCAATCCTCCACAGCAATTCCCAGTTGATGGCAGAAAGACAACAGAGTGCCTGGACCTCAAAACAAGGGCTTGATGCACATTTCTACTCACTCACTCACCAAGGACCGCTGGTCATAGGTCATTCTCCCCAGGGACATTCCGAGACCCAACAGGAACACGGATATGGTCAGGCTGCAGGGAGTTGTGCGAAGAGGTGGTGACCCCCACAGCAGCCACTGGTGGGTTGGAAGAGGGCAAAGATGGGTCCAAGTGTCCATTAGGTGTCACAGGAATTGCACAGAGTTTGGGATCTGGGTAGAAAGATGCAGAAAGAAGAGAAAGAGAAAAGAAGGTGTAAGAGACTGTGTTAGTCTTTTGCCTCAACATTGTTGAAAAAAAAACCACTGAAGAAACCACTGGCATTACAACGGAGCAGCAGCTAGACTAAAGATTTCCTGTTGTGGTACTGCACCTGTGCATGGAACAAACTCCAAGAAACTGAATATATAGCAAATTCGGAGAAACTGAACCCAGCCTCTGTGCATGCGCCCAGAACTGGGGTCTGCTTCTCAAGACCTCCCCAGTGCCAGTACTGGGCATGCGTACCACCACAGGTGGGAGGTGGAGTTAAGAACGTTAGTTCTTGGAATATGCTAAAAAGACTCTCAGAAGAAACATGAATATGTAATAAGATGGTATGATAAAAGTGGAAAAGGAGATGGAGTCTGGGCTCCTCCTTTTCTTTGGCCAGCCTTTGTTTCTGTTTCTCCCGCCTGGACTCCCCTCCGTCTCACACTCAGCTCTCCCACCCTCATCTCTCCACGGATGGATCAGACTGTTGGCGTGGTGATAACTTCTCCTTTCGCTTTCCTTCCTCTTCTCTCTCTCCGTTTCTCTTCCCCTCTTGCACTCGTGCACTAATAAAGTGCTTGGGTACTTGACTCCATTTTGAGTCTTAATTCTCTTCCCAGGTATACGAGGCAAAACCTTCGGCACCGGTCCCAGACCAGTTTGCGACAGACAGTGAGTTCCTCATTATCCAGTGACTGTTTCAAAGTCTAGGCTGTTTAGTGTGTTAGAAGCAGTTAAGAAAGTATTAGCTATTGAGCAACAATCAACACTGATTCATTCTGATTTAGGATGTTATGGCAAAAGCAGTGCAAGCTGGGAAGAATTTGAAGTATTCTCTCCTGTCCCCAAAACTGATGGCAGATCTCCTTGGCACCAGACAGATGAGAAAAGGGTGGGTCAGGCAGACTCAGGCTGACAGGCAGAGCAAGAAGCCAAACCCTAGCAGCAAGGGGAGGAGATTGTACTTCTGCACACCGAAAACAGACACCTGTATCTTTAGCTCTGAGCAAATACCACCGACTGTCAGGCTGGCTACATAAAGCAGTTAGGCTAAGACACCAAGGAAAAGACTAAGATGTGAGGATACCCACAGGCATCCATGTATTGGGGTCACCTCTAAATTCTTGCAGTCATTCTCTTCATCCTAGTCTATCCTACTGCACTGGAAGTCTTCAAATGACTGATCATTGACCTTGGGGATCCAAGACACCCTTGAGCGGTATGTCAGGTGCTGTGGATGACCGTCAGCATTTGATGAGATGGATGGAGAGGATGCAGTACTCGATTTTAATGCCTGAGAGTACTGGAGCAATAATTTTTGTCTGATCTATCGCATAATGAACGTCACATGCCCTTGTCTGCACACAGTATCACAGCTCTGTAATCTCTTTCCCATCTGCCCTTCTAGGGGTTTTGCTGTCTATATTCAAGGTAAGCTTTGATATGGTGCAGCCATGCAACCCAGGTTAAGACTGCTTTGAAAACAGCTAAGCTGCGGGACATAGCTGTGACAAGCGAATACTGGAGCAACAGCTCTTTGCTGTGGGAGCGGCACTTAGGCTCATAGCTGTGCCTGTGGTCCTTGTCTGGATTTTGCTGTAAGCATTCTTGTGCCCGTCCTTGCACCTTGCTGATCCTGATCTGGTCTTGCTGACTGGACATCTTAGCTTGACTTCAGACTGTCCTCACCACTGTAGACTTGCCTGACTATCAGTGAACCATGGAGTGACCCTGGCTAGTGTCAGTCGACTTGCTCTTTTCACCTTGTGCAAGTACTGTGCCTTTGTTGGTGGGGTCCTTGCCCTCCTGCCTGGCTGTCCCTCCCTGTCATCTCCTGGCTCACCATCCACTGTGGAGCAAGCTACTCTAGCTGCTCTCTGCCACCAAGTCCTGCCTGAAGTATAATACCTCTTGTAGAAAAACTTCCAGTCCTCAGGGAAGGACTTTGAGGGGTGGAGACCTTACCCGGCAGTTTTTAGGCAGATTGTTCCAACAGTTAATTATGTTTCCTTACAAATATGTGGCTTTTTTTCAGTCCGAATTTGTCTAGCTTCGGCTTCCAACCTTTACAATCTCATTATGCTTTTTTCTGCTCAATTACAGAGCCATCTACCATCAGAAATCTCCCCTTATGGTCGGCACTTACAGAGTGTGTAATCAAGTCAGTTCCCTGGTTTCTCTAAGCTTCATTAGCCTCTCGCTATGAGGCAAGACTTCCGGATTTATCCGAGTCCTTTTCAACGTGTTGGTATGCCTTTTACAAATGTGGGTCCCAGATTTGGACATAGTGTTCCTGAAATAAGCAGAGACGTTCTTACTTCTCCCTCCTAGTTGCCATTCTCTAGGTCATTCAAGAACTGTTGCCCTTAGCTATCACATTCCTCTTGATGCCAACAAAGCTCTGATTTCCCATAAATAACACCACAATCTAGCACAACCAGTAAGTACCTGGAGATGGCAGTGAGTTTCCTGCAGAATCTGCTTTCAGATTTCTCACTAAAAAGCAGTGGGAGATAAGCAAATAAGACTGTTTGTGCTACTGTACCTGAGCCTTCCTGAGTCTCTTGGAACTGATCTAATTCCTCCATGTTTGATGAACTCTGATCTTCATCTGAGTATGACCGGTTGGCATCGCCCTGGAACACATAGATTTAGAAGGTAGGAACTTGTGAACAGAAAAGACCACTTGTTCCTGTCTCTCATTGCTGGAACAATTGTAAAATCCCCCTTGGCATCGCATGATCACTGAAAAGAGCCTCAAGTGATCTGGGATGGCTGATGTACTGCGTTCTTGCTTTTGGAGGGGCAAAGGACTCACTCTAGTAGGGAATGGTCTGTTGCACAGGATGGAAATTTGAACTTCTTTCCAGATGGCTTGTCTCTTCACTTGCAAGGATTAACACTGGGGTTTTTTTGTTTGGGTTTTTTTTGTATTTGTTTTTTGTTTTGTTTTAATCAAGCCTACCTTGAACCTAACAAGGGAAATGACAGAGGTGTCATACTTTGAGAGTCCTCCACCCCAGTACCCTCAAAGTGTCTCAGAAGTCTGCTTCTTAGCACCTCTATTTCTCCTCTGGAAGATGTCTCAGTGGCAACTCACCTCAGCCTGGAACCCCTCCACAAGAATAGCCACCAGCAGATTGAAGAGCACGTAATTGCCAAATGTCATGAGAGCCACGAAGTAGAGAGATGCCCATGGCGAGGTGGAGGCCATGCCATTATAGAGCACAACATTCCAGTCCTCCTGAGTTAGGATCTGCAACCAGGAGCAGAGGCCACATAAATGTGAAGGAAGAACATGAAGAGGATTTCCAGAAAAGGACAGTGAAAGGACATGCATTAGGACCACATGAAGCCTCTTAACTTCCCTACAGTCACACACCCACTGCCCACTGTCAGTGGCCAGCTGTGGTACTGCCCAATAACTGAGCTGAGCAAGAAGAAACAAGAGTGACCACGAGGGCAGCCACGTGCTGAGCTGACAATGTGAAACATGGGAGGTGCCACAACAGGAGTGAGCTTTGCAAACCGTCTCCTATGAAGGAAGGAGAGCCCCTGCCTGAAAGATATATCAGTCATTTGATTACAGCAAGTGATTGTTCTTCCTCCAAACGTCACATGCCAGACCCTTTTGTGCTTTCAGAAGCAAGCGTAACACTCTGCAATGAGAAAAAGCACCTCCTGATCATCTTCACTTTGCCCTGTCCCCTACCCTGGTAGAGAGCAAAGTGGGCTCACCTGGAAAACAGTGACGATGGCCCACAGCAGGGAGTCAAAATTCTTCCGGTCAGGAACTGTATCTCCTGTATCTGTCCTTAGGCTGAACTTGCAACCAAAGATGTGCATTCCCAGGATGCTGTTAGGACAAGAAGAGGAGATGGTTCCAAATGTAAATGTCTCTGCCACCATAACGTGCTCATCAGAATCATTCTCTTTTCCTCCTGTCAGACTAATGTAACAACACAGGAGCGAGGTATGGAACAACACAGCCAGACCACTGGAACCTAACTGGGAAGAAGGAGCTATGTATTGCACCCCTATAGATCACCAAAACCCCTTGCTTTCCATCTGTACTGACTCAGAAAACACGAGTTCCCTCCAACCTGTCCTTCAGATCTGCTCTCTCCATCGTTCTTATTTGCTCTCATTTTTCTTCATTTACCTACCACTGCATCCACAGGATGCACTGACAGACTTTCTTGGTTGCTTCATGCCACCCTTCTGCCAGAGTCAGCCTCCAGATTGAACTGTTCCTGCAGCCAGTGTCGATTACCAAAAGACTTCACCTACCCTGTGATGGGACATTATGCTCAATGCACACATTTGGTGGCAGTATTTCTCTACCCCACTCAGGCCAAATCTTCAACTGCTAAACCCAGTTTAGGGCAGGAGTAACTTCAGCCCTTATGAACAGATAAACATATGTCAGCACTGACTGAGCCTAGAGCAATGGGCAAGGTGAGTCATGCAAACATGCTCTGAAGTTGCTGCCCACATGAGCCATGCAGTGCCTTTCCAAAACACTGCGAGGCAACTAACTGCTTCCTCACCTGAATATAAAGATGAAGAGCATGAGGAGCATGCAGAAGGTGGCTACATTGTCCATAGTCTTCATCAGCACCACGAGCTGGCGGCGCAGAGCGGGCATGAAACGCACCAGCTTCAGGACCCGCAGGAGACGGAAAGTCCTCAGCACAGAGAGGCCCCCGTCCGACTGGCCGATGATCTCCCAGATGCTGTGGCCCAGAGAGGCATAGGGAGTATAAGGGACACAATGAAAGAGAAGTGAGTGAATAGGAGAGAGAGAGAGAAATAACAATGCTAATCCAAGTTTTCACCTCTGTATTGGCAGCAAGTATAAAGGGGTCAGAGATAAAATCTGTTTGAGCAAGACATTGTTAGAAGTATACACTATAGGCTTATACTTATGTGTATAAAATGGTATTTCTCCCTTAAGAACATGTACATGGCACTTCATGTTGCAGGAATAAGGAGAGGATTGTAGCATTAAATTTCAGCAAGGCAAGTTATTCTATCACACATTAAATCTTTGTACCACCCTTAATTTGTGCATTTTTAAAATATTTCACAGCTAGTATTTACTATGGACTTACAAGGCAATTGCAATTTCCTCCACTCTACAGAGGAGGGAACTAGGGGGCAGAAATGTGGCTTTCTTGAGTCACCAAGTGTTGGGAAAAGACATCTTGGTCTCCCAATCCTTGTCCTTGTGCATCAGCTCCTCCTAGTATAGCAGCTAAATGCTTTTGGAAAATGCACATGAAAACGTGCAAGCTCTGTGATACTTGTTTCTACGCATATTTCATTTGACCCCCAAGGCCCTTGTCACCTGATGATGACGATGATACTGTCAAAGATGTTGTAAGGGTTGCGGAGGTAATCAAAGAGACCAAAAGCAGCAAGTTTCAGGATCATCTCCAGGGCAAACATGCTGGTAAAGACAACGTTGCTGATCTCCAAGATGTTGGTCAATTCCTCAGGCTGGAGACAAGGCAAATTCAGAGAGTCAGAACTGAAAAAGCCCTGAAATTACGGGAAATAAAGTGCTATTATTCCCAGGGGACAGGCTTAGTAGGGAGCTGCAAAGCTCCCATGGGTGATATCCAAGTGGAGCTGGATAGAGCCATTTGCACTCCAATTCCCTTGCACATTTATTACCTTCATCATTGATTATGTCCCTAACAAATTCTTTAGTAGAGGTAGTCAGGAGCTCCATAGCCAAGGCTGAACAAATGTCTCCCACATCCCATTCCATACCCTGGTCCCTCAGCTAAAGGCTGCTTTACTTTGTGCAAACAAATTTGACTACTTTTTGAAGCATAGCAGAAGAGGCTGACTTGTGGTCAACTTTTTCTTCAAGGATTTCTTCTTCTGAGGAAGAAGAGAGATGATAAAATCTTTTACTCAAATTCTGAAAACATGTGAATGGTGGTCCCAATAATTGCCCAAGCAAATATCAGGCTCGATGACTAAGACAACCATGAGGAAGAGCACACTGCTAACACCTACCTGTAAAGGATAGGAAGAGCAGGACAGGGTGAGGAAAAGGGAAAAATGGACAGATGGGAGAAAAGTAGATACACAAGGTGAAAACTTCCAGGTATGACACAAGCTGAGTGTGTTGAAAGGAAAATAAAATTTTTTAAAAAAAGAAATCTGACCCTGCCTCAGGCATTTTTTTCCTGTTGAATCTCTGACACATTTTTCAATCCCTGTGACACAGCCTTCAGCAGAAACCGATGTGTTTGTGCATAGGAGAGAGTGTTTTAATGACTCCATCGGTGGAACAAGTATGAGCAAATTAAATTACTCCTCCTTTTTTTTTTGAATTAATCACTTTTTCTTTAGTGCGTATGGCCTTGGAAACTTATCTGACAAGGTCAGGAAAGGGTTTAGACCATTTCCTCAGGAATAGTGAAGCGCTCCTTCAGAAGGAGACAGTTGCTATGCTGATGTAATTGATGAGGGATGCTAGGGTCTTGCCATCCCCTCTGAAATGGAGGCATTCCCTTCACTGAATTTGGGATGGACTCATCTGCACAAAGTACCTCTTACCCAGGGACTAAGACTGCACCAGAGCAAACAGCAAAGGTTGAGGTCTCGAATAAGGTCAGATGCATGAGGGGCAACACATGCACAAGCCTGCCCCTGTTTGCACACACTCAAACACACATTTGTAGCCCAGGGAGACTACCACAGCAATGACAAGGTATAAAATGTTTCCAAAGTGAGAGAAAAACTTTCTCCCATTAGAATGGATTGCATCTTGGGGCCAGGCTAGTTACAGCCTTCAGACAACAGGAGACTGACAGGGCAATTCACCTGGCTGTAACATGCTGCTGGTCATCACCTTCCCAAGAAGCAGCTGGTGGGGATATGCTTTAGATGAAGGTGTGACACCTTCCCAAATGGAGAGACAAGGCATGGCAGCTCCAAAGCACTACTTCAGGGCTCCTCTGGCCCAAATTTCCATGTTTACCTTGAGGCAGGTATATCACACCTCAGACAAGGTTAGATATTTGATGTTTAACCTACTGTTTTCCTGAGCCCCTACTTGGAGCCTTCAAGGTGAGTCTTGCCCAGGCTCTGTGGTAGCAGGCAGTAGTACCCTCACCATTTGGATACTCATGACGAAAAGGTGGCTGAAGACTCCCCTCTTCCTTCACATTGGTCTAAGCTATGCCTGGCCAACCGGCCACCCTTTTAATCATCATGTAAAATGAGTGAGAACAAGAAAACTGCAAAAGCCTGTTGTTCAGGGCAAGAGACAACAGAATACTCCTGGCACTGCAGAAACAAAAAAGTGAGGCTCTGCAGGTCAGAGCCAATATTTTTACCATGAATTCAGTATTAGTGCCCACTAAGAAGGACTCATGATCTCTCCCTGAGGACTGCAAAATTGCTGTTTTTCTGAAGGGCAGCCTTTGTGTTGGCTGTTACTTAACCAGCTGGTGGAAGGAGAGAAATGCAGTTCTGAGGTCTGACCCCCTCCCTGAAGCTGGGGGCTGCTTTAACTCCTGCTCTGGGACCCCCAGGGGCCCAGATCCTCTAAGGTGAGCAAAGGGACTGGAAACTGCTCCTCGCACCTGTGGCTTCCCATGCTCATTGCTAAATTTCTTGCACTCTTCATGGCAGATTTTTATTGAAATAGTCTATTTCTTTAAAATCAAAAAAAAGGGGAGATGGCTCAATTTCCATCCATAATTACATTTGAATAACAAAACCAGCCTGCAAATGAGGGGAAGAGGAGGGGAGATAAGAGAAAAGAGAGAAAAAGAATGAGCAAGTGCACACAGGAAGGGAGAGATGAAGATTGCTTCACAGAGAGCCAGGCAGTAATGACACTCACCAGGAACGTGAGGTCCATATGCTAAAGAGAGATGGCAGTTTCAGCCTGAATCATATTATTATGTCAGTGAGAATGAGCAATGTAAAAAAGCAACAGGCTATGGTGGTGGATTATCCTCCTCTCTGCTGTCCACACGTTCTCTCATGTGCTGTCCTAGGGAGAAACTGATGTTTGAAAAGCCATGCCTGTGTCTCTCTTGTGGAAAAGGTCACCTGTTTCCCTGTCTCTCCTTCCCTCCCTGACATCTGTTTCTCTAGTTAAGCCTCCACCTGTTAATCTTTTTCTAATGGGCCATCAATCAACTCCAGCAAGGCATCCTTCCTAGAGAGAGAGGCGGGAAAGACTGGGCAGGGAAAGGAAGAAGAGATGGGCAGAGAGAAAGGGCAGGAGTCAGGAAAAAAAAAAAAACCAAAGCTGAAAAAAAGTGGTAAAATAAACTCTCCAGCACCACAAGTAGATAAGGAGAGATTTTTAAAAATGGAACAGGAAAGAAGTAAAAGCTGGGGAAGGAAGAGCAACACAAAAGAAATTAAACCAAGGAGGAAAATAAGAAAGAGCAAAAGAGAGAGGAGCCGTGTGGGGAGGCACAGCTACTGACCAAAGGTAGATCCTGCATTGCAGCCATTTCTGGAGATACAGATAACTCAGCAGAATGCAGAGAGCCATCAGCCAGGAGCCAGGGCTGTGGGGTGGGGGCCACTGGGGACTGTGTCCTGTGCAGGGACGCCCCTAAGCCTGGGGCAGCGCAGTCTTGAGTGACAGCGGACAAGGCTAGTGGCTGGGACATGGCTGGTGCTGGGGATTCTCTCTGACCAGGGAAGTGTGAATTTCATGAAGGGGGCAAGTGAATGGGGAAAAGGTGTTTCTCTCTTGTTCTTCCTACCAACACAATGGATGTGTGACCTCACAGTTGTGAGAGCTCCCCAGGCTCCCACAGACAGCACTCGGACATTGAACTTCCAAACCATTAACAAAGCTTCCTGCTCATAGGCCACTCAGGTTTACCTACAAACTGTAAAATGAAGTGTCCACAAGGAAAGGCCTGAATACAAGGCCTAGTCCAAGGAAAACCAGGGAACACTAGAAATCTCACCACAAGAAAAGCCTATTCATATTGCCAAGCCAAGGTAGACTCATCTACCCATCACACCCAGAGATAAACTTGAACAAAAGCTGTGGGAGCTGAGTATTGGAATGAGGAGGGTGGCATGAAGGGGAGAGAGATCTCAGGCATTAGAGCATGCCCAGAGCCACTGTGTTAACTGGTTCACGTACTCTGAATACGGATCTCTTTCCAAATCCATGAAACTACCTAACTCACATCTTCATGGCACTTAAGTCCTTCATCCCTGTCAGTGTAGATCAAATACAGAGAGTGAAGTGTATGATTCAGGTCTACTACAGGGCTCCTATCCACTGACCAGAAACTAGTCCTGGGGCAACATAGGGCAGCTGCTCAGCTTTTTTCTCCTTAGTTTCTTACTAATCGACATTGGAATTCTCAGATTAGATTGAAAACATCAGTCCATTATCTGACAGCAGCCAGAGATTCCTGCCCTATAGGAAAGGTTAGGAATATGCAGACCATCATGAAGCTTCTGCACGAGTTTCTCCTAACCGGGAGTAAATTGGCAGCTGTGGAGAAACTGAAGAGTTATTGATGTGATCTGTGCAGACCAGCCCTACCAAACCGTACCTGCACATCACTGCTTCTGAGAACATGAGAGAAGAATATTCCATAAAGAGGTGTCTCTAACCTTTCAGCAAAAATCCCAAGATTTCCACTCACCATTTCCAAGTAGCTTGACAGTAATCAGAAGAGTCATGTCAGCCATGGAACATACTAACTAGCTTTTACTTATTGTAATCACCACCCCACAATCAGTGAAGGATTTTGTGACATTTTGTTGTACCCTAGTTTTACAAGGCTGAAGTAATGTGGTTTCATCTACCACCCCAGGGAGACTGTTCCATCATTTACTAAAAGCCAGTATGATGAGCTGGCTTGGACATTTGCTGATAAGCAAGCAAGTAGTAAAAATAGAAGCAGTAACTATAAAATATGAACCTGTGGATGAAATAAATGCTGATATAAAGGAAAATTGCACAGGCTTAAGGATATGAAGGTACCTATCCACTGGGCTGTGCTAGTTAGGAAACAAAGGATCGTCTTTTGATACCACAGGATAGACCCTGTAGAGTATTGATCTGATATATGAAGGAATACTGCAAGTAGATACTGGAAAAGATAAGTTACTCAGCAATGGCTTCATTGAAGGCTAATGGCAAGGAAGCCCAAGTCCAACAGGCTGTTCAAGAAATATAAGAAAGGCAGCCTGGGACTTTTCAGCTGGGATCGTCCTTTCATCCTCATGCTGAATACGGGAGAAAAGCAAGCAGCACCAGATCCTCTGTGAGTATTAAAAATTAGTAAGCCTCTTAAAAAGATCCTTCTGGACAGCCACAAGCATCTAATATCTTAATTTTCTACACTGGATTTTAAAAATATGCACTTCCAAGTAAAAAGAGATCTGAAGAACTGCAAAAACTATTTCAAGCCGGACAAAGCTTGAAATGAAGGGATTTTAGCTTGTGCAGCATACCAGCACTATCTGAAGGCCTAATAATGAGGATATTACATGGTATAATGCACACTGATGGATTTGAATAAAGTTACCTATTTACAAGTGATAACTTGTGATAAGTGTAAGGATTAAAAATTACTCATAGCAGTGCAGTTTGTCCCAAAATGAGTTGATTTCCCTCACAAGAAATGTATAAGGATATAGGAAGCTGCCTTGGCCACACAGAACAGGACAAGGGACTGGATGGATATGCTGAACAAAGGCAAATTCCAAGGTGATTTGGAACCTAGTACAGTGGTTTTGAGTTGCTGAGGTTAAGTCTTCCATCAGAAAAACGTTGCAAATGTTAAACTGAAGAACTGCAACAGATAATATTAATTCATGTTTTTCTTTCTGTTGGTCAAGGCTCAGGAATCAAAGGAGAAACTTGCACATGGGGTCTGTCCCCCAGGTTCCTGTGTTTCTGAGCCTGACCGTTGTGCATGCCTCCTGCAGTGTCTTTCCCACCTTAACCTGGTGGTTGGTAGGTGCTTTGGTGAGTGGGACACCTCACCTGCATATAGTCTGTGAACAAGTGTACCAGCAAAGAGATGATGGATGTGCCATGAGCTGCTCCCAAGACTGCTCAAACCTGTGACACCTTCACACATCCTCTTGCCCAGACAGATATGCTCCCAGAGTGTGGCTGGTGTTGTGATCTCCCATGCACCAGAAAATAAAAGCCAAAAAGATCTCTATATGCATTAGCTCCAGGCCAGGAGAGTCCATATGACAAAGTAGCTGAAGCAGAAGAAGCTACTTCAGTCATAGGAAGGCATCACCCTGCAAATCATAGATCTCTGTGGGCAGAAGGGTTTTGAGAGATATTGTTTTATGAAAACTGTGTTTCTGGGAGGAAAAATAACAAGAAAAAGAGAAATGAAGGAGAGGAAAAGAGGTGATGAAGCACTAATCTGAGATGTACTGATAGCATGGCTTGAGAAAAACTGAAAGAGAGCAAGGGGAAGTGGAAATGCCTGTGTGCTTTTGAGCTGACTGAAAAAGACCTGGAATTCATGATATGGTATGAATTTTTTTTTAATCTTCTTATGCCTGGGAAACAGGATTCAGCATACACATTTTAAATAAACAGGCTGCACCACATTTTTCAGTTATGATCAATTTGGCTGACTTCTCTTTCTAGCAGAAACAGCATGCAGGGTCATGAGCTTTTCCTAGCTACTTATGGATAAAAAGCAATAGCATAACTTTAAGGATGTGTCATTAATAACCTGCTACTAGAAACCCCAGGGCTGCAGGCAGCTCCCACTCTGCTGCGGGCTGTACAAACACGGCAGAGGCGGCCTAGAAGGGCTTAAATCTGCGCACACAATAGCCAGAACATGAGAGTGAATTCTCTACCTCCAGCTCAAATATTCTTCTGCTAAACTCCTAATTCATGCTGTCTCCAATAAACCAAAATGAACAATGGCTCTCCCTACTTGGTGCTCACATCTTTAAAATATTAGTGGGCAGTTTTCATACTATCCTGGGCTTCAATCCTTAGTCATCTCTGTGCTACGTGATGAATACATCTCTCTTTTTTATCTGTTTTCATGAGTCAACCCCTCCAGCTTCTTCCTCGTTCTCCTCTCCCCTGAGTTCCTGCCAGTATTTTTCTGGTACTGAAGCATTCAGTGCAGTTTTGCATTCTGGGATCAAATTAAGGTTTCCCATCCTTGTACCAGAAACTAGCTGGGCTCTGAAAAATGGTCTAATGCTTGGTACGTGGGTGGTATCCAGACATCTGAGGCTTCAAATACTGGCTCAGACACTGTGTTGCCTCAGTCTGGGTGTCAACATATCTCCATCCTTATACTGCACATGACAAATCTGCATGCCTTATTTGAACCAGACTCACTGCCTGTCTCTTTGCTGCCTGAGACTGTGTTCAGGACTAGACTTCACTTTGGTTTCAAAGCTTCAATGCAATCATCATCTCAGCAGTGGAGCAATCTCTTACTTTTGTGATCTGGGCAGACACATGGAGCAAATCATGGTCACATTCAGACTGGTGGCATAGGTCTGAGCCGCAGATGCACAGCAAGGACTCCATCAATGCTAAGAGCTACCAGCCAGCAATGCAGATGCGAGGTCATGGGCATGCTTACCACCCTCTGAAGCTAGCTCTGCACATCACGAAGTAGACACAGCCTCTGTTTCCCAGCTATAAAATGAGGGCAGACAGTCCTTCTCCATCTCACAAGTCTGTCATTAGGACAAAGTGCACTGCTGACTCAGACCTACCAGAAAACTATTGCCGTGAAAGTCAAACCTGTGCCCACACCTGCTGCCTATGTCTGACCCAGCTACCACTTCTTGCTGTCGTGGCAAAGGAAAGGCTCCAGTCACCTGAGCCCCCAGAATGACTGGAGCTGGGAGGTGGTGCCTTTCCTAGCCTTCTTTTATAGATACACTGTGCTCAGGGATCTCTTAATTAAGCTGGAAAGGCTAGCAAGCCGATGGATTTGAATTGAGATGCTGGTGAAGTGCCTGTGACATCCCCAGAGGGCACATTAAATTAACCAGATAGACTAAGGATTCAGTAAGCTAATGAAGAGAGAAAGGAGAGAGATGGTGGAAGAGAGAAGGGTGAAGGAGAGAGAAGAAGATGGAAAGAGAAGACAGAGCAAAAAAGAAAAATAGAGGGATAAAGTGAGCAGGGAAGAGGAAAAAGGAGGGATTGAAAGCAGGTGAGAGGAAAATACATGGACACAGTGAAAGTGATTAAGTGCAGGGATAAGGAAGAAAATGCCCTGCAAGATACTGAGGCTCTCTCCAAAGCCATGCTGGGACCATCTGTGCTGCTGCCTGGGGTCCAAATTGCTCAATCTCTGCCTCCACAGAGTTGCATCAGCTGCTTAGCAAGGCTGTAATGCTGAGCAGGACTCGCCAGTCCCCGCTGCCCACCCCGTGCCCTGAGGTGCCTTACCTGCTCATGGTGCTCAATGCCCATGCTGATTGTGTTCACCAGGATTGCAATCATGATCCCACGGTTGAAGTACTTGCTGTCCACAATCCCTCGAAGCTTGACTCTCACTTCTCGCCACATGTCACTGCAAAGCTTCAGTCGTCCACCTTCTTCCAGTTCGTCCTCCTCCTTCTCCAGTGCAGAGGCACCCATGTCATCTCTGCTGCCCTCTCCTTCCCCTTCGCTGGCTCCTCTCTCCTCCTGGTCTGAATCAGCACTACCCAGGACAGAGAGCCTTCGTGATGCTTCGTGCTCCCTGCTACGGCATCGGGGGCAGTTGTTGGGATCCGAGGTTGCTGTCACAGCAATGGGCTGGACCAAGCCCTGAGGAGGGCAGTCAACAGAGTTGTGCTGCTGGCAAAGTCCTGGGGGAAGGAATGATCACTCTCAAGGGAGAAGGCTTTGGAGAAGACATCCAAACTGGGCACCTGTTTGGTGTGGGGGTATTTAGACAGGATAACTGGGCTCTTTAGCTATAAGGGATGACCAACCGCTGGCACATCATCTCAAGGGCCGCAATAAAAGCCATTGCCTCTGAGGGCTTTATGCTGACTGGTTGTGTCACCAAGACTGTTCTGCTGCTAGTGATTAGGCTCAATGGGGGTTTACATCCATCAGAGGAAGAACTGTTTTGTCTGATGCAGGAATCACAGCTTGAGACTCAATAGCTTGTGTTAAGTGGGAACTGAGGGAAAAGGGATCACAAGGGCTGCTTTTGGTCTGAACAGCTACAAGTGGGGTCTGAGAACCCACATGCTGAGCTGAACTCTCTAAATTAGGGAAGCTACATTAGCAAAGCATGCAAGAAGCTGGCGAAAGTAGCACAAGAACAGTTCCTCTTGACAGTCCATGTGCTCTGAATTAGAACAGATCTGCTCACTTCAGTGAGACAACTAAGTTTGTGTTCCTCCATCCTTCAGTTGGGCATGGAAGATCAAATGGACACTGGGAGAAAGCATCAATTAATTCATTAACACAGTGCATGAGGCCCACAGAAACTTTCCTCCCAGCAAGTAAAGAAAATGAAAGAATGAGCATGTAAGACTGGCTGAAAAATCCCTCTTTTGCTTGTCAATGGAAGCATTACTTATAAAAGACATCGACAGACAGTTAATATTAACTCTATAAAACATCTTAGGCCAGGAATTCAATTTCAGTGTTATCTCATGTCTAATTTTACATAATGCTGTGAGCTCTCATCAAGAGAAATTGTCTTGATTGCCCTCGCATATCGCATTGACTTCCTCAGTATTGCTTCCTTGGTTCAGGAGACACCCTCTCTCTTGAGGTCCCACAGCAACTCAGTTTGAGAGGAGAACTCTGGGGACCTGCTGTGTCACCCAGTCTAATCCTTAGTCCCACTCTCTCTCATATTCCCCTAATACCTAGCTCTCTCAGACCACTGCCATCCTACTGCTAAACCAAACCCGGAGCCATTTACAAGCCTCAGTCAGTGCCTTTACTGTTATCCTATTATGGTCTCTGGGTTTTCCATGTTCCTTGCTGGTCATCCCTGTTTCATTCCCACTCTTGTTGGTCATCCCCACCTTCTGGGCTGATGCACTGGCCATGGCCCCATGCTCAACAGCCAATGTCAATTCTAATTCTGTGCTTTGTAGGCACAGGTTCTCTGGCAAGCTGACACATGGGGATGCTCCTAGTTACTCTCACATTTCCACTATTGGCATCTCCAGCTTTACCCACACAATCCTTACTGTAGTGCCTCTGGCTTTTCCTGTTCGTTCCTAGGTTGGCATCGCTCTGCTCCACGTGGCCCTGGCGTCGGCTCTGTATGCTGTTGTACAGCCCAAGGGTGCGGCGTTTGGCTTTGCGCATGATGTGGCAGATGTATTGGAAGATCTCCTCGTAGCAGTCTCCCGGCTCCATGTAGCTGGCGACAGTGCTGGAGGAGAGGTACCGGGCCCGCTGCTCCTGCATCAGCTGGTGCTCCCGCTGCTTGGTCTCCGAGAACTGCGTGGCAATGACCACCAGGCACAGATTAATCATGAAGAAGGAGCCCACCTAGTAGCAAAGGAGAGGCAGGGACAGTCAATGTCAGCAGAAGGATGAACACATGGGAAGAGGAAAGAGGAGAGAAAAGGGGAAAGTGAGTGGAGGCAGACAGAGGAACGGGAACCTGTCTCCTTAAGGAGATGGGATTTCTGAGAAAGCCAGGGCTGTCTAAGCTTGTTTTTAAGAACTCACTCAATGTAATTTCCATGCAGAATTTAGAACTGTGAACCGAAATTCAGGAAGCACAAGCCTTACTTTTCTAGGCTTTGGGACCTTTAGCACGTCACTTAGAAGTTACCTGCAACGGGTTTGACGAAAACTGGACTTTTTCTTTCCCTCCCTCTTGTGTTAAAGAGAAGGTGGGAGACAGAGGACTAGTTTAATAGCTTGGTTGCTTTCTCCTCTGCTTGCTCTTTTATTACTGGGAAAATAATGCACTGTCATTTATGGTCTTCAACTCTTGGAGGACATGTCAGTATTCTCAGAGCATTTTATTTATTTCTACCATTTACACCTTAATTCACCATACAGGGAGATGGCACTTCCCTGAAATGAATAAGCTCTTGAAATCAAAGAGGAAAAGGACACTAAATAGTCTGGCAAAACAGTGTTTCCTTGCCCATTTTCTATTCTTCTGATACTAGACATATTATATTAGCTCTTATTTTACCTGTCCTCTAGCCTAGGTAGGCTTTCCGTTTCAAACATAAAAACAACCATCACCTACTCCCCCAATTTCTTAGAAATAAAACAAAAAGCCCAAGTTCTTTCTGTTCTCCATCCAGAAGCCAGAAAGTCTGTCAGGCTTATTTTACACCTTTGCATATTCCCTTTAAGCTTCCTTTGCCTTGGTTTCCTTATCTGTAAAATGGAGCAAATATTTCTTGGTGCTGAGAGATCTGGAGTTAGAAATCTCTCAGTGTTACACGTTATGAAATTACATATTCATCTCCACTAGGAGATTACACTTAGAATAAAACCTGTGTTTTCATGTGATGAGAATTTCATACATAACAGGGCTGGTAACCGTGCTCAAAATCATTCTCAAAAGCTATGATGTCTTGATTGGTGCCTGCTCCCTGAAGAGCTGTTAAGTGGTGATATGGCATCTATAAATCGGAGTCTAATCTCTGAACAAGGACCACTTGTCGGTACTGTTCTGAAATGGACTATGCAGGGCAGCCCCTGGGAGGAGAAGAAGCACCGGGCTCAAGATTTCTGCTTCCCCTAGACTGGGGAAACTTCCCTGCTGATGAATGCCCTAGCATCATGTTCCTCCTGTATGAACCCACACAGGATCCAGTCTCACCTCCCTCTCTCTCCTTTCGTCTTTCCCTTTTTTTTAAAAGGGGTGCCCTTTTTGTTTCTCTTTGTTCCACAGGGTTGTGCTTTCAAGGCCATTGATTTGTGAATGATGGATTCTGCTGCCTTCCAAGATGTTGGGCATCCTGTCGGTGCTCTGCTGGTGCTGGTAAAACGTGGAGCCGGGGTAGTGCCCAATCACAGAGCTGGAGCCAGTCCTGCCCTTACAGTCACACACAGAATCGTAGAATGGCCTAGGCTGGAAGGGACCTTAGAGATCATCTAACCCAACCTCCCTGCCATAGGCAGGGACACCTCTCAACCCGAGCAGGTTACTCAAGGCCTCATCCATGGCCTTGAACACCTCAAGCGAGGAAGCATCCACAACTTCTCAGGACAATTTATTCCAGAGTCTTGCCACCCTCACACTGAAGAATTTTTTTCCTCAGGTTCAATCTAAATCTGTTTTCCTTGAACTTAAATTCACCTCCCCTTGTCACGTGTCCTCCGCCACATAACCCTTCCAGCAAAGGGGAGAGGGCAAGCAAAGATGGCCATAACCTGACCCCAACCCTCTTGTGTGGAAAAGGTAGAGGTTTTTATAGCAATTACCGCAGTTTGTTTTGTCTATTCAGGCAGCCTTCCCCCACCAGCTTGCCATCTTGGTTGTCCCTTTCTGTAACACACAGGTTTCCAGCAACTCTGCCCAGAGGCTTAACACAGTGACTCTCAGTATTTCAAAGAGGAGGTGTCCCTCCTAGCACCTGAATAAGCCTTTGAAACATGAAGCCTTTCCTAAACAAATTCAACATAATTGCAACAAACTATCTCAAAATAAAGGACTTTTTTTTCCTCCTCTTCTCAGCACCCTTCAAAACTGTTCTAATTCTGTTTCCTTCATCACTGAACCCTTCTCTTCCCTCTCCTCCTGCCCCTATTTCAGCCTGTTTTCCCTACCGCTTCTGCATATGGCCTTGAAAATTAAAACAATGTTTATTTGGATTCCTTCAAATCCCCCAAAGATTTTTCCTAGTCCATAACATCTTACATGTTTTCACTGATGAGAGTATCATAAAATCATGGAATGGCCTAGGCTGGAAGGGATCTTAGAGATCATTTAATCCAATCTCCCTGTCCCGGAATCCAAATTCTTCTCTAATGAACTCTCCTGCTTTCTTCCCCCTTAGCACCACACAATGCTCATAAGACTGTCCAGTCAGTTATTTCCCTCAGCTTGCCCTGAGTGGGGCAGGGTTGGGAGCTGGTCACCAGCTATGCATGCATTTCTGGAATGCTAATTGCAACACAGCACAGTACTTTGCAATTTCCAACAACTCCACAAACAACAAGCGATTAAGACTTGCAATACCTTCACTCTAGGCTACAGGCAGAGAGGCCGAGGGCAACAAGATGCCCTCAGCAGAGCCACACTCTCAGCCTGGGGTTGAATCCAAAGAGGGGTTTAGGTTTCACATCCTCAAAGGCATCGTTTGCTGTGATCTCCCACCAGATGACCAAAAAAGGAAGGAGTGAGAGGACTGGATATGGCAACTAACCCTCAATCCGTAAACCTCTTAGCTAGAAACACCACATGCAAAAGAAATGTGTTTATTTAATCCTTAAGACGACAGGAAAGTCCGTAAACTCAAAGGCTCTGCTGAGCTTGACACTGCCTCCCAGCTAGCATAAGGACAGGAAGGGTCCCAGATGGCTCGTAATTGAGCGATCCATCTCAGCTAGCTGAGCTGGGAGATTGGAAGTACCTGACATCGAGTCAGACAAAGCATTTGACAGAGGCAGGAGGAGATTGTTAATTCACAGGCCCAACACAGGAGTCCTGTTCAGCCCTGAGACTAAGCTATACTTTGATTAAGCAGATCCTGGCCTTGCTCAGGTTGAGGTTTGATCCCTGTCTCTGCAATATCTAATAAAATGCTGACTTATCTGTCCATTATTTTTATCGCTTATGCCTAGATATCCAGGTTGTCTTCTGAAGCCCGTGTGTAAACACAGAGTGCTTTAAGGAGGCCATTGAGTGCTGCAATGTGGATGCCAGCCTGAGAATTCAGAAGAGCTTTCTCTAGTCCAGGAGCCACACCAGTAGCCAAGTAGGTAGACAGGTGACAAAGAGACAGCCGGACCTCATGCAGAAGGACCCAAATGAAACACTGACCCAAAAGGTGAAAGCAGCCCTTCCTTGATGTCCTTCATGCCACCTCCCTGATATCTGGCAGAGGGAGAAACTATTTACAATTTGCCAAATATGTAAAATGCTTTTACCACCTCATTTTGCAAGGTCACTCTGAGTGCCAGGGTCAACACTCTTCGCTTTAGGTGAGAATGTCTATGCAGGAATCCTAATCCTGCTGGCAATATGTGCAAGTGGTGGAGCCTGATGTTGCCAGGTGAGCAGTAGCAGGTAATACTTCTGTGTAGGTGTTTGAAGACATCTCTGTGAGGGAAGAAGTAGTCACTGATGAAAACACAGCTCTAAAGAACAAGCTGCAGAGATCCAGCAGCAGAAGAATAAGCTTGAGCCAAGGCTAGGATGTATGTGGAAAAGCAAAGAGTCAAGGCTTGAAGTATGACTGTCAGAGGAATCCTGCTTAGAAACCCAGGCCTTTCAGCCATGGAAAAGGAGAGAAGGATAAAGGCTGGAAGGATAAATGTTGGAAGGACCGTGCTTCATAAGACTCTTCCTATGGAAGACGGGTTGTAAATTCTATAAGACGACTTAGAAGGAAAAAGAAACCAAGTGATAGCAACTTCTCACTATGTTTCTATGTGCTGTAAAAGATGCATTACACATGCAAAGAAGGTAACAGAAAGGCTAAATACTGTCTTGGGGTACCTCCACCAAAAGCAAAGGAAATATCCCATCTCGGCTATGGCTCCTTCGTTCTGAGCAGTCCTCAGAGTAAGTTGAGATTTATGTGCTCTTGTGTTTGACGGAAATAAACCTACATGGCTTCTGCAAATGAGGAGGGAGTGTCTAGAAATGTCAATGACACTCTGCAGTAAAATCTCAGGTGAAGTGTTTAATTGAGGGTTTTCAGCACCTCCAATTTCAGAGACAAAGTTTGAATCACTGGGAATCCACATGAGGTGAGCTAGCACTAGAAGGATGCTTCTGCTTAGAAACCAAAAATAGACTGGCAGAATTTATGTAGTTTGGAGCAGGAGATGAGGGGCAGTTTTTGGAACTGGCCTGCAGGAAATGGCCCCAGTGGTTAAACACTGACACACAGTCCTTCCTGGCTCTGGGAGAGACTGTGTCTGAGAAAAGGCATAAATTCCATGCCGAACCGAACATTGTGCAGATCTGGGTATGCAGGCCATGCCACTCAAAGTGAAAATGCAATTAGGTATTAAATATCTATTGTACAGTGGGAGATTTGAATAAACTTTATGGGAAATAATTGGTTTTCTGAATTCACAAAAAGCAGCGAATGTTCAGTTTGCCTTTAGGAACTCTCCTCTTGCATCCTGTGCAATCATACCTCTGCACTGTCTCTCCTTAGGAGTCTCCAGCCTCAAAGTAAAAGTAGCATTCCTTAAGTTGTATTTTACCTCTGCTGTTCTGGCTCATGCTTCAGCCCACAGGGAGAAGGTCATCTTTCCAGTTTTCTCTCCTTGTCTTTTCCTTATGATGGCAGAAGGCCAAAAGGCAGGGACAAATCAAAGACACCATGAAGATCCAGCTTTTT